AGACCTATCCACTTCTAGTCTGGTTTGTTCTATCGGTAGAACGAGAAGTGCTCATTGGCAATCACATCATAAAGGTTTCTAACACTGTTCATAAAGTACTCACAGCATCACCTTGGAAGCCATAGCGTTATTGCGCCTCCTGTCCGCAAAGATGCACCTATTACCTACATCAATTATTGCTGAGCTATAGCGGAATAAGTGGCGATATAGAAATGTCACACAGCATAATAAGTTTTCCAGGACAGCGTAACATAAGAATACTAGCAGAACATTTATATTACACTCCTCGAGGCAATTACTGAAAAGTTTTTCATCAAGGAGCAAAAACGTATGTAGGCCACCACCTTTTCTCATTAGGAATGAAGTGTCACCTCAGTCAAAGGGACTAAGCACCCCTCAGTGGATAACTTCATGTGGAGGCTTGATAAACACGTACTCACCGATGGATTACTATCTCTCCCTTGGACTAGATATATCTGATCCATGTCTGGTAACGGACTTTGGTTATTTTCATCAGTTTTGAATAACTTATTCCGAATTTATTAACTATTATTTTCATCTAGTCTTCTAATGTTACACTATGGTCGTTCGTCTGCATCACTAAATTATCAGTCCACCTATTAACTTGAATTGTTCTAAAAACAGTCGCTCCAAGTCCCAACCAACCACTTTACAGCCTGGAAGTCTAATAACTTCAGGTATTCGTAATCCCTAATGCACTCTCTCAGAATAAAAGATATACAAAACCTTAAATAACCATCAAGCTGACTCAAATTTGAGTAGATGAGTGGTTGAACATGAAACTGTACCTAAACAACAAGCAATGAGAGCAACAAAATCAATAACTTTATGCAAGCTAGTCATATGAATATTTAATATCAGATGAACTGTTGAGACGCCGTCATGGCATTCAGTTTTACCACTAAAACTGGAATCGACCACAGCAAGCTAGAATTTCAAACGTTTGAATGTGTCAGCTTTACATGACGGTCTACAATAGGCGGGATGAGATGTTCACATTCAACCTGGTGTGGATGCTCACTGTTATTTCTTACTGCACAAGATATTATGTGCTACAATGCAGTCTGCTTCACTAACGGTCCCCTGAATCCGCAAGTAACCTGAGGTCACCGAGAACCGCACTCTTCGTTTGCTTCCGTTATGCAGCCTCTCATCGACAAGCCAAAACTGGAGTCACCCAACAGCTAGGTCCTAATGGGTCGATCATTAACGATGGTGATGCCACTAACCCTTTGGCTGAACAGTACTCTCGGACATTGCAACTGACCCATATTAACTATATTTATCAAAGCTTCATCTACAACTGCACAGGACTTTCCGAAGTGGACCTGGGAGCTGACTTGGTGTATCAGAAACTTCAGCACCTTAAAAAAGACACCTCCTGGTCCGAATATGGTTCATACTGCTATACTGAAGGAAGCAGCTTCAATCTTGGCGACACCGCTTAGAGTGCTGTTCTCACACTTTCTAAGCCGAGGCGCATTGCCGGAAATTCGGAAGCTGGCTCACATCACACCAACTTTCAAAGGAAGTCGACTCAGCGAACCTTCATGCTACCGCCCGGTGGCTCTCCTCTCCATACATTCGAAAAAATATGGATTCCCTGATATGCGATGGTATATACGACTATTTATTATTTTTAAACTTCTTTTGACCCCAACAGCATGGTTTCAGGAAGGGTCATTCTTGTATGGGCAACCTGCTGACTGCGATGGACAACAATCCTTGATCGCAAGGGGAAGGTTGAGGTTATTTACGTTGAATTCTCCAATGCCTTTGGTAATGTCAACCGTATATGTCTTATCAATAAGCTCGAACGATTAGATATCATATCATCTCTGACTGGCTTACTTCATATCCAATATGCCGACATCTTAAGGTCAGGGTTAACTTCATTTTCTCTCGGGCTATGGTATGTCATAGTGGGGTCTCCCAGGGAACCTCTTCTTTTCTTGACTTCTATAAACGATCTTCCACAGCACGTATTGCCAGACTTATTACTTTTTGCTGATGATGTGAAACTTTGAGGAGAGATACGCAACCATAAGTATAAACTGGCACTTCAGGAGGATCTGACTCCATTTCAAAGTTGGACAGACAACAACGGACTTACCTATAACACTTAAAAGTGTAAAGAAACATGTTGTAGAATGCGGCTAAAACTTAGGCAACTCCACTCTGGAGGTATTCCAAACTGAAAAAGATCTAAGAGTATTGATACCCTACAATCTGAAGTCCTATGCTGAATGAGACAGCAATGTCTTCCTAACAGATATTGCACTGATAACATTGAAGCACATTTTTCGCTGATTCGACGGAAGAACTTTGCACATGGTCTTCAACAGTTTTGATCAACCTGATTACAGAGTACGGAAACATAGCATTTCTTCCCACACTGTGGAACGTATCCAACTGCGAGCCACAAAATCTGTTCGGGACCTCAAACTTAAGCCTTATGAGGAGCGCCTCCGATCACTGAACCTCTACCCTTGAGAGAACGGGCGTCTTAGAGGTTACCGCCTAATGGCTTATAGCATCCTAAATATTTCTGAACATCTCCTTAAACACTTACTTAAGCCTTGTCCTAACACAAAACATAGGGGTAACACATTGAAACTAGAGACTCAACACAGCAGAATGGGATGTAGACATACCTTCTACTCCTTAAGAGTAGTCAAACAATGAAATTCACTGCTGGCTGAGCTAGTACAAGCGATTTCTCAGGAGTCCTTTAGGAGAAAACTTGACATGTTCTTAAGGACTAAAGATAGTATCTTACAATGATAAATCAACTTTTCTTTTCCCTCTTTTACCAATAATATACCTAGGTTCCTGCCTGGAGGTATTGGTGGTCCACTACTATTAGATACGGAAGCCCGTTAAGCGAGAGCTTCTTATATTCCTTCCAAAACCATTTGACCCATTTGGTTGTTGGGTCACAATTTTGAATGGTGCGTTGCGACTGTTGTAGTTTTTATTTTACTGTTTTTGTATGATCCTGATAGAATAAGCCTAATTAATGATCAATATAATTTTAAAACCTACGATGTTTGCATATTTTTTATCCTCATTCATAATATGGATGAAAATTACCGAAGTTAGCTATACTTATGTTTCTTAAAGTACGTACTAGCTAACAACTTTATGGTGACTATTATTTATGGACGACTTTTCAGTGAGATTGATGGGCACTGGGGCAACTCGCACCAGTTTTAATGCAAAAATCATATTAAACTACCTATATGAATGAATTTCGCACAGAAACCCAAAACTTACTATCCTTGGTTCTTCCGCAAATTATGGTCTCGCTAACTTATTTATTTAATTTCAAGGAACGTTGCGACACTAACTGCCAGTAAAATGGTGTGTAGTGAATTATGACCAGCTTATATAAACTCAAGTTTGATTAGTGTCATACATGATTTCTCGAATAAGTGAGTAGACTTCTTTCACATGTGTTATTCTTGTCCAACAACATTCTAAGTTCACTCACAATAGAAATGATCTATGTATGTATAGGGGGAATATTTGGTTATATGGTTTGGTATACATCCAAGGAGTGAAAATATCAGCAATAATTTTTGTTGCTGAATATAGACTAGACTTAACGTTTATTTATTTTGATTTTCAAACATAGGTTTCAGTCTTAACTCTGCTAAATTTAGGTGTTTGCTCTCGAAAGAATTCGCTCTGTTAGGTATTGATAAATTCCTCAGTGATATAGTCCATCTCAGTATTTTCAATTGTTACTCGAACGTGGTACATTACAACTAATTTATCTGCATTGTAGTGATGAATTATTGTTTGGCTTCACTAAGTAGACGTGGTAATGATAGATCTGATGTTTTTACAATTGAGCGTAATTAGTTGAGTTCTGATAAGTAAGTGCAATTTTTTTCTGCTCAGCTGTAAAGTATACTTACTTGCTGGTGATTGATATCGTCAGGTTACCTAAAACGGAAATGAGAACGTGCTTAATTAAAAGCCATTTCGCTTGAGTTATTCATAAAGTATTTAATGTAATCTATCCGTAGCAGTAATCGGAATGGGCATTGTAGTTCTATCTACACTTACAAATTACCGTCAATCACTGTTCTAAGAAATCATATTAGAGGTATTATTCTGATGCCATCGACTGAATAACATCTACAACAAAGTGTTAAAGTAGGCTATTACGTCGATTTAACGGCAAATTACGGCGAACGTTTCGGTTCATATGTTTCATTTGATTTTGTGGTGTTTGGTTACGCTTTAAATACATATGATTTAGAATTTCAATCATACTTGTTTTTAACGAGGTCTCATCAGTTCTTTTTTAACAATTGTTAGCTCAATGACATGTTGATGCTCTTCTCAACGTGTATCTGTTTAAACCACACTCCTGTCATATGTGTAAGCATTCAAAGGGCTAAAATCATCAGCTGTAAACATTAAAATATAGGTAATAAATCAAGCACAGTGCTCGAAAAACTGGTTTTGTGGGTTTTTGGACCGCCTATGTTTTTAGATCAAGTCTTCATCAATATGTCGCGAATTATGAGACAAGTTGATTATTTAAAATTGGCACTAAATTATTTAATCTGCCTACTTGTTATGCTAAGTTATATTTCCGAGTGCCCACAATCAGTTACATTTTCTATCTTGATAAAACTATATTAATTCCTCGTTTTAAAATATTGTTTTTATATTAGTCTATCGTTGCTCTCAGACTTGTTTTGCTTTTTTCGGTTAAAAAGTCTTTTGAATGTTTTGTTTATGCAGTACTCGAGATTAATGGAAGTTTTTGTACGAATGATTCTCTTTTGCTATTCTTACTTAAAAAGCCTGTTTTATGTTGGATAACACTGATTTCTTTAGTATGTTGTCAACTAATTATCTTTCAAAACTGTGCAATCGTACAAAATTTCAGATAACTAATTTGTTAATATTACCACAGGTTTAGCTGAACAGAACCATATCTCAAGTTGTATAACTCAATAATGTTGAGTTCTGAAAGAAAAATTGCTATCAAGCTGGTTCTTCTTACCATGTTTACTCAATCATTCTGGTCTGGATTTCAATTTCTCACGAACCAGTTTATATATTATAGGTTAGGTTTTACTCATAATAATTCAGATTCATGTTTTTCGGTAGTTTTTACATTTAAATATAATTAACGCTTAAACGTTTTACACTTTTTAATCTTGTCTAGTTTTTTCTGATGTTTTTTAACAAAAAACAGGATTGCTTACTTACTTACTTACGCCTGTTACTCCTCGTGAAGGAGCATATGCCGCCCACCAGCATTCTCCATCCAAGCCTGTCTTGGGCAATCCTTTCCAGCTCTTTCCAGTTGTTATTCATCCTTTTCATATCCGCTTCTATTTTCCGACTTAATTTGTTCTTTGGCCTTCCTCTTTTCCGCTTCCCTTCGGAATTCCAATTCAGGGTGTGACTCGTGATGCAGTTTGGTGATTTCCGTAATACATATCCTATCTATTTCCATCGTCTTTTCCTAATTTTCACTTCAGCTGGAAGCTGGTTTGTTCTCTCCCAGAGAAGGCTGTTGCTGATGGTATCCGGCCAATGGATGTTGAGCATCTTGCGTAGACAACCGTTTATAAATACTTGTACCTTCTTGATGATGGTTGTTGTAGTTCTCCAAGTTTCAGTCCCGTACAATTGAACTGCCTTTATGTTCGTATTGAAGATTCAGACTTTGATATTGGTTGAAGATTGTTTTGAGTTCCATATGCTCTTAAATTGTAGGAATGCGGCCTTTGCCATGCCAATCCTTACCTTTACGTCTGCATCTGAACCTCCTTGTTCATCGATGATGCTTCCCAGGTATGTGAAGGATTCTGCATCTTCCAGAGTTTCGCCATCAAGTGCGATTGGTTTGCTGTTCTCCGTATTGTATTTGGGGACCTTGGTTTTCTCCTTGTGTATGTTGGGGCCTACTGATGTAGAGACAGTCTGCTGCTAAACTGGCTGACTTTATCTGCATTTGTTCGTGTGTATGCGATAGGAGGGCTAGGTCATCTACAAAGTCCATATCGTATAATTTTTTCTGAGCTGTTTATTGTATGCCGTGTTTTCCCTCAGATGTCGAGGTCTTCATAATCCAGTCGACCACCAGAAGAAAGAGGAAGGGAGAGAGTAAGCAGCATTGTCTGGATCCGGTCCTTACTTGGAATGCATCTGTCAGCTGTCCTTCATGCGCAACCTTGCACTGTAGTACGTCGTATGAGTTCCAGATAATGTTGAAAATCTTCTCAGGAACTCCGTAGTGTCGAAGAAGTTTCCGTAACGTCCTCCTATTTACACTGATAAATGCCTTTTCGTAATCAATGAAGTTGATGTACATTGTTGAGTTCCACTCAATTGATTGTTCGACGATGATCCGTAGTGTCGCAATTCGGTCTATGCACGGCCGATCCTTACGGAATCCAGCCTGTTGATGTCGAAGTTGGACGTCTACTGCGTCTTTCATCTGGTTGAGCATTACTCTGTTAAAGACGTTCCGTGGTACTGACAGTAGTGTGATGCCTCTGTAGTTCTCACATTTGCTCAAATCGCCTCTCTTTGGAGTCTTAGTGAAGCGTCATTCCTTCCAGTCCATCGGCACTTGTTCCTCCTCCCAAATCTTTTTGAATAGAAGGTAAAGCATGTTTGTAGTTACTTCAGTGCTTCAGCTGGTATGTTGTCGGGACCTGCTGCTTTCCCGCTCTTGATTTGTCTGATGGCTATTCTGATTTCGTCCGTCGTTGGTGGATTAACATCTATAGGAAGATCTGTGTGTGCTGCTCCGATGTCCGGTGGATTCATTGGAGCCGGCCTATTCGAGAGTTCCTCGAAGTACTCTACCCATCTGTTCCGCTGTTGTTGAATTTCAGTGATTGGTCTGCCTTCTTTCTCTTTGACCGGTCTCTCTGGTTTACTATATTTCCCTGCTAGTTTCTTCGTTGTATCGTAAAGCTGTTTCATATTTCTGTCTCTTGCAGCTTTTTCCGCCGTCATTGCTAGTTCTTCCACGTATTTCTTCTTGTTGGCTCTAATGCTCTTCTTCAATTGCTTGTTTGCTTCTATGTACTCAGCTTGTGCTCGGACTTTCTCTGCTCGTGTTCGGCTGTTGTTAATTGCTGTCTTATTGTTTTTCCTTTCTTTGATCCTGCCCAGTGTTTCTATAGAGATCCATTTCTTATGATGATGCTTCTTTAGGCCCAGAACCTCTTGACACGTTGAAGTTAATGCTTCTTTGATACCTTTCTAGTTGTCCTCCATAGTGGTTTCTTCTTCCTCCTTAGGTCCTGTAGGGCTTGGAACCTGTTGTTGAGAGCCATCTTGAATTCATTGAGTTTGTTAGTATCTCGAAGGAAGGCTGTATTGAACCTTTGCAGAGCTGTTTGTCCAGTTCTTTAGCTTCAGTTTTGAATTGGCCACAACTAGGTGGTTATCTGAAGCTATGTCATCTCTCCTGGTTCTCACGTCTTCCATTGTCCTTCGGAACTTTTTATTGATGCAAATATGATCTATCTGGTTCTCTGTGATGTAGTCCGGTGAAATCCATGTAGCTTTGTGTATACGTTTGTGTGGAAATATTGTGCCGCCTATGACCAATTTGTTGAATGCACATAGATTTGCAAATATCTCCCCGTTTTCGTTCCTCTCTCCCAGTCGATGTCGTCCCATGATATCTTCATATCCGGTTTTGTCTATTTCGACTGTGGCGTTTAGATCTCCCATCAGAATGGTGAGGTTCTTTCTTGGGCACTCCTCTATGATTGATTGCAACCTATCATCGAACTGATCTTTATCGTCGTCATTGTTATCATTGGTGGGTGCATAACATTGGATAACATTGATTGTAATTCCCTTCTTTGTTTTGAATGATGCTTTGATGATTCTGGATCCGTGAGGTTCCCATCCTACAAGTGCATTTCGTGCTACTTTGGACAGCATTAGAGCAACTCTCTGAGTGTGTGGAGCATCTTACTTTTCGTGACCGGAGTATAGCAGCATCTCTCCCGTATTTAGCCTTTGTTGTCCAGCTTGAGTCCAATGTGTTTCGCTGATTCCCAGTACTGCCAAGTTGTATCTCCTCATTTCCGCTGCTATTTGACTGGTCTTCCCAGTCTCCCAAATTGTCCGGATGTTCCATGTACCTATAAAAATTGTTGATCTGGTTGTCAGAAGGGGCATCGGCCTCGCGACTTCCAAAGGAACCCGGCTTTCACCACCAGGCGTCATAGTTTTTCCAGATGAAGACCTTCTAACTCCCAGGGCAGAGTTTAAATGGTTTGAACTATTTTTTCTGGTTATCGTTTTTTAGCGAGTTAGTTTTCTACGGAATTGGATCGCTAACACTATGTTCAACCCTCCTCCTTTACTCGGGCTTGGGACAGGCATAGCTCTAAAAGTGCTACAGGTGGAGTTAGGATTGCTTAGGGCATCTATTTTATTCCAGTCCTCACATAAAAGAAAAGGAGAAAGTAAGAAGATAATATATTCAAGTAAACCACATATTATACATTATTACGGTGAGCATCTATTATTTATGTCTTCAAAGACTTGACACTTGTATGTCGAGTCTTGGAATTAATCTGAGGACAAAACTGAAGAAGTTAGTGTTGGTATCCTGCTTTTATAACTATCGTTCATGATTTTGATACGTAAATGCTTTATTCGCGAGTGAAATTCTCATTGAAAATAGGGATTATCTTTTATTATATATTTTTCTGCTTACTTTGAGCTGACTTGTTTTAATCCCTGTTTCAAGACTTCTGAGTAAAAGTACTCATATTGACATTTCAGACTGATGAACTTGGTAACTAACCATTAAAAACACCCATTCCGAAGTCGTATTGTAGTGTGGGCTTTGGACTGCCCTGAGATGTCCAAAATAGTTCTATACAAAAGTTGCTAAGAATGCCTAAAACTCAATAAAATGACTGTGTTTGATATACATAATAACTCTGTAGAGTTGTTCCTAAAATATTGTTTTCATAGAAATTCCTGCTAAGTATCAGAACTGGACAAAATTGTTCCGTAATGTAACGAAGACGAGAAAGACTACAGAAGACTTATTAACCTCCAAATATATCAAAACTATATCTGAATACGCCTATTTTTGTTTCATGTACACCAAACACATCAAATCTGAACGAATTAAACTGGATAAGGTTGAGTAGGTATCCTGAAATAGGTCAATTTAAAATTTAGTTGCTCTTCGTAACAATAAGAAAACAATTTGATAGAATCATGTAATTGACGTTTATAACGGATTTTATTTTAATAAACTAACTACTAAGACGTATTGGATATTTTTATATTTTTTTAGTAAGATTATTTATTTATCTCGTTGTCTTACGTTCTTATGGTTCTAGGTTTCTAAAGGACGCAGGTCTACCCTACGAACCGTCTCCACAAAACAAGTATGTTGAAGGTTATTATGAGTGATTAGCTTGTTTAGTCGTTGTGGGATAATTAATTATTTCAACCAGGGCTTATTTTTCCGCTGATAATTTAGAGCTTACTCAAAGTAGGAAGAAATTATTCGGTTGTTGTCCATGACAGTCATTGTCCCGTGAGGTACTTCATTTCTTTTTCAACTCGTGTTAGATGTAGTTCAGAATACAGTTGACATGTCTACACCAACATATTCTATTATTAACACTTTTTTTCATGATCATACATGAATCAGTCATTCAAGTATCAGTGAAGCTTTGCTATATTATCATTTGTTGTGGAAAATTTCCTTTTGAACTTGGATTTCACATTGGAAGTTGACTTATTAGTTAATTAAGTAGTCATTAAAAATATACTGTTTTTACTAGGTAGGTGTTTATAAAGCATCAGTTTTCGATAGTAAATGTGATATCTATCAGTGATAAGGTGATATGAAATTTCACTAACGGGTCATATTTTTACATTTTGAATTGTTGGATTTCCGTGGCCCGATAGCAAGTTAGTGATTTACGTAGTCAATCATGGTATCGAATGGACAGAAAGACATCAGTTTAACTTAATAGAAAAAGATCTACCGTAGTTACTGATCGTTTTCGGTTTACCATGAAATTGATAACAAGTATTTATTTCCTGTTTTCCATATTTTTGTGTTCTAATGATCTATTAAACATTTTTTTCCTATCAACATAATTTTATTTCCCCAGTTTGATGATGGTATGTATTTCGTTCACTAACCTCATCTAATGTCTTTACTATTTTGATTAAACTGTTTACCCCTATCGCACCCAACATCACTCATAAGCTGGAACTGTCAAGGTGTTTCATAACGAGTATGTGGTTATTCTTAGCATTTTTAGTTTTTTGCTGGATACTCGACATAGTTCTTGAGTTCTGTGTTTAAGATCTCTACATAGTTATTACCTATGTATTCTACTTCAAAGTACGTGAATATAGTTAAGTTAATCGGTGCAGAAGTCTTGAAGCTTAATGATACAGTATTTTACGAATTTGGTCATGCTGTTTCAAAGTAGGAAGAAAGATTTATAAGTATTGTGTAAAAACGTCGAATTGTGTTGTTAATTCTCTAAGAGAGAACACATACTTTTCTTTAAGCAGTAAACGTATCACCTTACATTTTAACGTATAGGTTTACTGTATCGTAGGCTATAGTTCGAGAAACATTTCATATCAAGTCTAAGACTAGACAAAAGTTGTACGCTCTGGAGGTAAACAGCTATTAACAGGACTATATTTTTTTTAAACTTTACTTCAAAACAAAGTATTGAGTGACAATTGCGGTAACTTTTTTTCACTAATAGATCCATTCCTGATCAGGACAAAGAATTGAAAGATGAAGTTCAAAAAAGGACTGCACATTTACTCCCCTTATTGAGTGCTTCATTATTAATTCCTGGACTTTTGTCGTCGTTTATGATCAGTTCACTTTCTGATCATTATGGTCGACGTGTAGCGATGGGAGTTTTGTTTGGTGGTTTAACTTCAAACATAATCGTTTCATGTAAAGTTATCATTTATTTTAAATTTTTTCAACATATATGACTGCATATTATTGTGTAGCATAGTCTGTTATTTTGTATCAGTTGTTCAGTTCATACAGAGGTATTTATTGTTTTAAATGTATTACTTTGTAATAATTTATGATTTTTCTTATAACCTATGAATGTATCCATGATTCACTCCATTAAAGGACCTAAAAACTCTTGTCTCCTGATTAGTAAACTATAGATAGTGAAATTGTGGGATTATTTATACATTAAAGAAAGTAAGGACTGGAAGTTTGTATATATTGTCATCCATATATACTCTTCAGTTCATTTACTTCTGTGAATTTAATTACATCAGTTTCACTCATAAAACCTTGTCACTAAGTGTTTATGAACATGTCCCTTCACTGTTCATAAATGGAATGATCTCTGAATAGCATCATCCTTTATATTCTGGGCATTAGTGAACATCATATTACGATGCAAGGGAGCATTGTCAGCTCTTAATCAGGTCCTGAATGAATTAATTTATACGATTCTATCTCTTATCCACGGTAAAAGTCATAATTCTTAATTGAACAGAGCACAATTTAATAGTATTTAGGGACTAATTGTTTTGAACTGCATCAGACAGGGTTATTCAAATTTTAGTCGTATCGATTATTTCAACCACAAGTTATAAAATCCCAGTTATATTTACTAGCTTTTCTAGCTATTTCCTAGTACGAAACATTTTAGAAATGCACTAGATTTCTTCGCTTAATTTTATCATTGGTAAAATTTACATTATTTAACATTTTACATATTTTGTATTATATTCACATAAATTGTATTCTAGTGATTTTACCTATGGTTTTGCTTAATCTATAGGTAACGCAGATATACACGCAGTAATACCACTTACTCACATTGTATTATAAGCAGCCTAACCGACGCATAAGTATATTTAGAGGCTATCTTAAGCAATGTAGTAATAGTTTTTGTTTGCTTAGTATTAGTACTTTAATTGAAAATAACGGTCACTTCCTATGTTGTAATGTTTTTCAGCGCTTGTGATTTTACTTGAACTGAATTTATACTTATTAGTTCTGGGAAATTTAACGTGTGGTTTTCTTGGCGGAGGCTTGCTTACATTTTCAGGTCAAATTTCAGTTTGCTTTGCTGATATTACTAAGATTCCTGATGAAAAAGAGCCATTATTAGATAACTCTAAATGTCAACAAGCTTCATTGGAACGTCGACGACTTTCGTATATGGGAATTTACGATGGTGTTTGTGTTTTAGCAAGTGCCGCAGTGGTGTCAGTTACAGGTAATAATTGAAATATAACCTTATTTGTTTGATGTCATTTTTGAAATGTTGATCTTTTCTATGCTTTAACTGTGACTCATAGGATTTGTTCATAAGTTATGTTGTTTGTTAACTTTAGTCAGTTATGAATTTCGAATAGGTCAACCTTTTAAACTAAATATTTGTAGGTAAACAACAATGTCTTATTGATCGATAATGAATATTTTGAATTAAGGCTGCATAATTCAATTTATGATAAGGTCAAGACGATTATTGTCTATAAAAATTGTCTGATTGACCATGTTGTTTGGTTATGAACTTAAGATGTTGAATCTAAATTTCCATCTGATTTTTCGAAATGCGCTTATTCTTGCTATCAGTAACTCGTAATGACAAAGCCCAAAACTCCTAATCACTTTGATTAGAGTCATGTATTTCTGACTGGTACATGAAGTTCACAGCTGTTTCTCAAATACTTTGATACCTATCGGTGAATAGACGTTAAACCTAAATCTGTAAAACACTTTCGGAATCTATAAGTAAAAAAAGCTTACGCAGATAAATATAGAGACTTTCTATAGACAAAATTTGCTTTACACTTCAATTATGTGATTTAGTCTTTATTTTGGTGAGTAAAAATCCCGTAACATATGTCCTTGCTAATTTCAGTTTATGCAAAAAGTGAAAATTATCAGTAACTTATCAATTCATACGATTACTTTTCAGTTGCTTATTATTATTTTTTTGTATCTCATCAAAAACGTTAAGAATATTTTTATTGAAGTGTATCAATCATTTTTAACTGAGACTCGGATGTCCTGTTTGTTACTAGCGAAATAACTAATTGTTTACCATTGAGTTATTATACGAAGTAAATCCTCACTATAGATTAGTTCTATTAATTTAGTTTTGCTTCGATATTATTTCTTATTATTTTGTTGAAGTTACCGTTTTGTTACCCATGAAACTTGTTGTTTGCAATCATTTATATATTATTACCTAACCTATAAATAACTCGAAGTTCCGGAAGGCTCTTGAGAAGGCTGTAATATACTTTGTACGAGCATTCCATTTATCTAAATTAATGGTTGCTCTGGTTGTCAGAAGGGGCATCGGCCTTGTGACCTTCAAAGGAACTCGGCTTTCACCACCAGGCGTCATAGTTTTTCCAGATGAAGACCTTCTAACTCCCAGGGCAGAGTTTAAATGGTTTGAACTATTTTTTCTGGTTATCGTTTTTTAGCGAGTTAGTTTTCTACGGAATGGGATCGCTAACACTATGTTCAACCCTCCTCCTTTACTCGGGCTTGGGACAGGCATAGCTCTAAAAGTGCTACAGGCGGAGTTAAAGCTGTAATATAACTTATTTATGAATATAGAAAGGAAGAGTGGTGAACTTTACTTTGCCCTGGTAAACATAAATATCCTAAAACAATTTCACCTGTTACGTAATCTGACTTTTACTCACTCAGTTAATATATAGCTTGAATATGACCCATAATTATACAACTATCGATTATCATTTGTAACTTTCACCTCTTCTTCATCTGACTGAATTCATCACGTGTAAAATTGATCATCCCACGTACAGCTTTCAATTTCGTCTTTTGATTCACTTTCCTAATATTCTGCCTCGTTTCAAAGATCCATCACGAGCTTATTAAATAAAGTATATCAAACCATCATTTAAAACTTGGTTATTGTGTGCTATAATTTTAATGTTCACAGCTAATGCGGAACCTTAAAACTGTATGGATTTTTTTCTTTAGCTGCAAATCTTTTCTTCTTGCTTTGGTCAAAATTGTCATGTGAACTGTGTTGTATGAAGTTGTGTTAAATTTATGTTGGTTAACTTCGATTCAACTAGGACAAGCAACCTGAATAATATTACGTGTTCAGTTATGTAGAATTAGCTAACTAGTTAGAGGGCTCTGTAGTGCTATGTTAAGCACACACAGCTTATTCTAGCTTCCGGACAGGCCAATATATTCATTCTTCTTGAGTCATGTTTTGACCTTGTTAATTATTCGCTTATCAACCTTGACTGTTTTTATGTAAGTGTATGTGTGAAATTCTTGTTCTGCTCATCACATGTCTGTAACGTATTTCTATCCGACTATAAATATCGATTAACGCGTGATTAAATTGAGTTGGCTCACATTCATTCTCCGTCGCTCGTCATTTCACTTCACTCTCTTCTCTTCGCTTCGTTCGTTTCGTCTCCCTGACTGTCTGTCCAGATCAATGAGTGTACAAAATATACACATTCAAAATCTATTCTCGTATTTGATTTATTTAATTCCGTTATTCACTAACGCAAGTTAAGTCGATGACTATCTACGAGGATTGGCGACATGTGTATGTTTCAGTAATAATCATTTATACGATCTAAGTGATGTCAGATATAAGGCCTCTAAAGTGATGAGCCCATCTATAACACCACCCGATCTAATTGTTGTCAAAATAACGGGCCACTAAAACTCAATTTCAAATTATTATTTTAGAAGTTGAAACTGTTCCATTTAATCGTACTTCAGAATAGTTTTTAGCAACACTCATTTTTACATGAAAAAAATATGATTTATAGTTGAGTTCTATAGATGAGTCTCTATTTGGATTTCCGAGTTAAATTGTTTACTCACGATATTTTATATTATCTCTTGGCTTTTATTAGAATAATTTTCTAAGCATATTCCATACAAATCTCAGTTTAATATTATTTCGAGAATGCTTATTTTCGCGTATTTTGTTTTCTAAAATAATCCTTATAATCTTACTCAGTAGTTGTAAATGAAAATTGTTGTTAACCTTCAATTCTATATATTGTTTTTTAGGTGTTCTTATTGACCACTATAGTTTCATTACAACTTGTTTGATAATGTTATTTCTTTGTTTAATATCGGTGGGAATGTTATGGTGTTTACCAGAAACACAATCTTTCAATATACAAACAGCTGATATCTCTTTTAATAATAATTTCAATAGTAATATCTCTGTGTGTAATACAGAATTTTATTCATCTAATCAGTCAGAATCATATAAGAAAAACTGGCTTTTGAAGTCAACCGAGATGATTAATGTAAGTTATTACAAATGTATTTTCCGGTTCAGAGGTTATCAATGACAAGCACTCACAATTTACACGAAATTGAAGTCCATGAACCTTTAGGTTTTGTAATGTGCACTATACTATTGAATAATGAGGTTACATTTTCAATTCCAGTCAACTTTAACTGATCAACAAATTTATGTTAGTTTGTTAAGAAAACCATAACACTAAAGATCACAATATACTGCAAATTTTTAAAATTATAGGGCGTTTACTATATGATTCTAACCAAGGGATCCCGTGGCGGTAAGCCTACACTATCGTTTAAATATTCATTTTGTCGATTTCTTGTGAGGTAGATGTTTAGAATGAGAATTAACTATCTACTCTTCAATATCCATTGACTTAAAGATATTCCTGCTTTGTTTGCAAGTTATAGAAAATTAATATTTTTTGCAAACCTTTTTTGCTTATGTAGTTTATTTACTCCCGTTTTATTATCTCTACATATGTTAACTTGAAATGATCTAGATTTTCTGTTTAGTATCATAATTTATCTTCAAAAGAATCAAACCTTTTTAAAATAACTATCAATTCTATACGAAGTTTTTAAGTTTGCACTTATCTAATGTATCATTTGATTAGGTGATTGTCTTTCTAAATTATGTAAGAAAGTGATAGCAAATGGTTAAAGTAGGAAAGCTAGACATTGATGATAAAATTTTTGTACTGTCAGTTTCATCTCATTCTTCTATTTAATGATCAGCGACATCCTGTTGCACAAAATATTCCGTTGTTGAATTAGTCAAAACCAATTATCAAATCAATTTGTTTGTTGTGATTTTATGTTTTCATCATAATCTATGTAAATAGTGGTATTTTTTCCTGAATATTATTTCTTTTCATTCATAGACTAAGCTGTGTTTCCTGTTACTCAGTTGCACAATGATATAAGAAGTTCTGATTGAAGAAAAAGGATAACTTTTATTTGTTATTGACTGATTGTATCATCAGTATAGATCAGTTCAGATTATCATATTATCATCCAATCCGTCATTTGGGAAAGACAACTGTTTATTAGGTTTACTAATTCAAAAAATGAACTCATATTTGTTAATATAATACTTAGTTTTTGATAATAGTTTCTTCCTCGACACTTTCACATAATTATTATTGGTAATGTACATTTATATGCATACATGAATTGATTAAATATATAAAAAACTATATTTTCCTTCTCAGTCATGTTTTTTCACCACATGTTTTAGTCATATGGTACTCAGGTTTCATTTTGGAAATAGTATATTTTTTTCAAAATTCTAGCCTTAAGATCATACATAAATCCAAATTGTTATTTAATGTTGATAAATTAAAGTACAAACTGAAATGAACTCACTAAACTGGATACAGTAGACTATAGACTCATATTGCCAAATTTAAAAATGACAGGAACAAAATAGATAACGTTAAATTCGTTATACTGTTATGTTTTATGAACATTAAATAAAAGATGAATACTTTTGTAGTTCAATCTCGTTATATTCACATTGAGCTATTCATTACAGTTCGGTAAAGTTTTGTTTATTGAACGTTTCAATGAAAAGTATCATGGTTAATTTTTTGCTAATTTCTTAATATACAATAAAATATTTCGTCATGGGAAAAATCAATCTAAACATATCAGAATTCACTACAAATCTGATATTTTCCTTCTTTGTTATATTCATGTTGCCGACCAGTAAATACAATAATATGCGAATTCAATGAACACTGAGAATGGTGAACTATTTGTATTTTGATTATTTGAAAAGGCATTAAATGATCAGTCATAGAAGTATATCACCAATTGAACTTCATTGGTTATTCCTATTCCCTAAAGTTACATTTATGCACTTCGGTTTACATGATCTACCTTTTGCACTTGATATGCTACTTAACAAGGATGCAACATGAAAGACTCGGTTAAACCACATATATATTGGTCTATGACCCAGTTTTTAGTAACCAGTATTATCATGTTCAGTAAACGTATAATTTTCTTTCAGTGTCTCACTAATTACCCCTTGTAAGCCACGATTTTTCTAAAGTGAAAAAAAATGTTAATCAAAGTTAGGCTTATGGTACAAAGCTGAAGGTTGCTCATCCTAAGCCTTAAGGATTTTGATCAGATGAATAATAAATTAGAACTAGTTAAGACGGTATATTAAAGTTCAAATCACTTCCGATATTTTTTTTATTTTCTCAGTCACTATTTGACTGCTATGGTTACGTAATAAAACCATAAACGCTTTCACATCCTCTCATTATTCAATTAATCTCTTAACTTTTCCTGCCAAATAATTATTTCTGAAGCTGAACAGTTTGCTTACAAATACAAAAGAAGTACCACAGATGCTGCTATTGTTCTGCATTACAATATAGTGTTAAGCCTGGAAATAGTAACAAGTACGTCCGATAAGCATTTCTAGACTATACTCATGCCTTTGACTCTATGCTATGACAACTACTGCTTAACAAGTTTGTCAAAATCAACATTGAAATCTGGATAACCAACTGGCTGTGTTCCTATCTTTCTGGAAGAGAACAGTACAGAGTATTTGGAGGAAAGTGTTCAACGTCTTTGCTGACCCATCAAATTGTATCACGAGGAGCACTTTTTTTACCCTCTTCCTTTTTCTATTTTTCTTCATGACCTGCCATCTCCCACAGAAAACACTTCTGCTGAATATGCGGACGATCTCACTGTATGCATGTCGATTTCTACCTCTCCACATCCACTTGAAATGAATGAGTTCTTGTCTCTTGTTGAACTATAATCTGTTGTTAGTTGTCGCACACCTAATCCTTTTAAATGTCAAACTGTTAACTTCAGCCTGGGGTAAGAACAGCGTTCAAACACCCCATTGAAATCCTATAAAGCTTTTACCATTGGAGATTCTGTGGTGAAAACTGTGTCGATGGTCATTTATCTTGGTCTGCGTGTTTCCTCTGATCTCTCCTGGTCTTCTTATGTTTGTGTTATCGAGAAAAGTTTTCCATTTGTCTTACTATATAAAAGGGATACATTTACTTTTACGATTTGTTTATTCTTGTATAATATTATTTTTTTTACCGCTCCCATTACACTTTTCCAGGTTTTTAAGAAAAGATTTTGCAGTATTGCGGGGAAAGCTGAAGGCAGTTAGCAGGATAGATAGATTTTTAGATAGATATTTAAAGTCTTTCAAACCCCTAACAAGTGTTATCAGATACTAACGATCCACTTGATTTATATCTTTCTTCTTGTATATCATATAGTAAGATGAGGCGTCAATGCATTACAATCCACGAACTCAAACAAAGATATAAATGCTCTACAATACTTAATCTAACAAATATATTATGTGATAAATAGGTCGTTAGAGTTTACCTAGTCAATAACTTGTATTCTTAAACATGTTTCTAATTGAAAGGTTGTACAAATCCTAATCTTAGTAAAAAGCATTTCATTTAATTCCAGGTAGTTTATTTACTGAATTTATTCATATGTGTATGCAGTTATCAGTTTTTCGACTTCGTTTTCTTTTTTTTGTGAAACAAACGTGTTGAAATAATTTGTGCTAAGAATTTCATATTGTTGAAGACATAATGGACATGCAGCGTACATCTTAAGAGCAGTTCCTTTAGATTATCGTCAGGCAAGCCAATGTTGATTTGTTTTTCTGATATTTGCTTGCATATAAACTCAATAGTCTCTATAAATGGTACGTTGGTGAAAAAAGATACTACATCCACTGAGATCATATTTTTCATACTAACATTCATATTTTCCACTTTGGAGGTGAAGTCGAAGACATCTTTTACACTATTTCTAGCAACTGATTTGTGCAAAGGCTCTAAGATTCGCACTAGCCACTTTGCAATTTTGTGGTAAGGAGAATTGTACATATCTTAGGACTGGGCGTAGAGGAAGACCCGGTTTATGAACTTTAGACAAACCGAACAGTTGTGGTGTATATGATCCAGTCGGCTTAATTGAATCATGAATGTCAGTCGTAATTATTCCCTTTTTCTTTAGATCCTTAAGGAAATTAGCCAATTGTTTTTCTACTCTATTATTGATGTCATAATTACTAGTAACTTTCTGAAATTTGCTAGGATCACTAAGCATTGTTTCCTTTTTTTTCGATGTAATCCTTTTTATTCATGAGAACTATACCTTCTCTTTTATTTTTGTCTTCAACAATACTTATTATAGACAAATAGATGGGATAGTCATGGGCTTACTTCTAGGCCCGATTTTAGCTGATCTCTTCCTAGCAAAGTTAGAAAATGGACCTCTTAATGAAACTATTAAGAAATTTTATATTGTACCAAAAATATATTGAATAAAGCCATTAATAATAATAGTAAACGTCCAATAAACTGGCTAATTAATAATATAATTTTCGTTATATCCCAATCAGTAGAAAAATTGTATTTCTGACATTTCGTGACTTAATGCACGTCACTTCTTTAGAGTAAATAAAGGTTTTTAATCATAGTGATAAAATTCAATTCTGACTAAAGTTTTTAAAATTTTTAAACTATTCAAATATCACAGTAATATTCTTATTTATTTTAGCTAGTTCGAAATGCCAATATTATCACAGTTTTAGTCTTAACAGTTTTGTTCTTGACAACATTGACTACATATAATGAAGGTCAATATACATTTTTATATTTAATGGGACCTCCATTCAATTGGTCTGTTGATCAATATGGTTATTTTAGGTAAGTTAAATTATAATAGTTTACATAAACAATACTTATATGTCTAATTGTAATATACAAAATAACATACAAAGTATTTTTCTTTTATTAGTGGATTAAATTCTACTCTTCTGGGTTTATTGTCGTTTGGATTAACTTGGATTACTACTCATTGGATGAAAGTTGTTAAACGGCATCGGATATCTGAAGCATCAGAACCTTTACTTACTAATCAATCAGTTTCCGGGTACAATTCTATTCATGAAGTTGATTCAGTTGATCATAATAATAACAGTATTAGTAGTAGTTCATTGAATATAATTATTCAAAATGAAGTATTGCGAGCACGTCGACGCATGATAAAGTATGTAATATGTGGAATGATTGCAATTGTAATTAGTAAATTGCTTATGGGATTAGCATTTTTGTTTCCTTCACCTGGCCATAATATTGCCGTATTTGTTAGTAAGTTTTGTTTTTCAAAAGATATATCTGTGTATCTTTTGTATGTGGTTTCTGTTTAAAATTACCGTACTATTTCGTAATATTTACCATATTACGTAATTTAATTAATTTATATACAAATAATGAAAATGTTAAAAGTTTTATTATCTTAAAAATAAGTGAATTTTTGAATTTATCCAGCCATAAGACATTTTTTTGAATATTTTATCTACACCACAGTTGAGTCACTTCCCAGATAGCTCAGTGGTAACGTCTCTGACTGTGAAGCTGGGTGACACGGAATCGAACCCGTCAGGGAGCACCAGTTCCCTCAAGATTACAGATACACCTTGCTGACGAGTACCAAGTAGCACGAAACCCGGGTCCAGGGTTTCCTGTCGACTACCTCTAACCATCATCTAATAGTTAGACTTGCTCTAACTGAAATACGAATTATTAACTTTGAATCTATGATATTGTGGTTAGTCTATCTTTGCTCAAACTAATATAGTCAAATGACTGATCACTCAGTAGTGATGAGTGTCACATTCGTCTAGTCCTTTGGTCGGTTAAGTTTTAATATGGCAAGTAATTTAAGTAACACGACATCGTATACACTATGTTGATATGTTAATGGGTTGAAGGTAGTTGACAGAAAATTCTAGATTTCAGCTTCGAGCTTGCTGATACTCGTCAGCAAGGCAATACCTGCAAACTTTAGGGAGGTAATAGTCCATGTGAAGCTTTAATCCATGTCACTTAGGTTCAAAATCTGTTTTGTTACCACTAATCTATTCGGGTCGTAACTGATCTCCTATAGAACTAAGATATTTACAACTGACTCGTCACTAAGTAGTGACCGATGTCATATATGTCTAGTCCTTCAGTGTTGATTGAATCCTAACAATCAATTTGCAATTATGAATATCTTAAATGAAGCCAGAACAAATATTGATTCAGAATAATATGAATTAATTATATTTCATGCTTTCTCATTAGCTGCTTACAGCCGAATGTTCTCATTTCTGAGCATGTTTCAAAGAAATTGGGGCTGAAAGGGACTAGGGCTCTCAACAGTGCAATAGCTCGGCATTTACGTGACACCGGGAATACCATTGACATTCCTCATGCTTTTAAAATTATTAGCAGACAAAGAAATACGGCTTCTCTCTGTTTTGCTGAAGCGATCGCGATAAAAAAATCAAAAAGAGATAGTAATAAACTTACTACTACCCTGGTAATCCATTTTTCTTGTCACTAGTTTTATTTTGTTAATGTTTAGTCTGTGTTATGTTCCTCTTCCATTACTGAATTCTTAAACCACCACTTTACTCTTGCATTTCCACTCACTTGATTCACTTAAATTATGTGAACTCTTCAAATTCTATTCAGATATTAAGTAACCCATCTTATCAGTTTTTATATTCCATGAATTTTATGTAAACCCTTCGTTACCTCTAAAATTTATCACACAATTTATCTGTCTCTGAACTCCACTCAACTATTACACCACCCATCCTTAATGTTATCTTGACTCTAACACCAAATAACCTCTGACCTGTATATATATAGTTATCATTGATAACCTTTGTCATTCCAATTCTTTACATTAACTTATGTCAATTGTTCCATACTATTTCTTATCTCATTGTAAAACCTGAATACATATTTGGTTGCAAGCACGATGAGAAACCACGAAATATAATGAATTCATATTATTCTGCATCAATATTTGTTCTGGCTTTATTTAAATTCATAAAGAGGACTAATTGCATGAAATTTATGGATATCTTAGTCCTCCAGGTGATCATTTACTGCGACCACACTAGTGCAGTGGTAATGTAACATAGCAAAATTAAATGTAAACTAGTCTTTTAAATAGCATTGAAACAAGTAGTTTATTATTATTATTATTATTATTATTATTATTATTATTAATTAATTAATGGCTTTATTCAATATTATATTTTGGTACAATATAGAAATTCTCAGCACAGGGTATTTCAACAAGTTTCTTACACAAAGAAACAGAAACAAAGACAAAAAAAGGTTTAAAAAATCTGTTAAACTGTAGAACTTTTCAAATTAGAGACATGTTGAGAATGCAGGTTATTGACTAGGTTCACTCTAACAACCTGTTCGTCACAGAGTATATTTGCTAGGTAAGGTATTATAGAACTTTTATGCTTTTGCTTGCGTGCATGGATTTTAATGTAATTACGTCTCGTTCTACCAGAAGATATACAAGGAGAAAGATAAGAGTGAAGGGGATGGTTAGTATTTGATAAAATAACACCTGCCAGGAGTTTGCAGGACTTGAGATGTCTATCCACAACCATAATAATTATGACCTCGAAAGATTCACCATACACCTTGTTAACTACCTTCAGCACTCTCCGCAATACAGCAAAGTCTTTTCTTAAAAGCCCGGGAAAGAATAATGGAAAACAGTAAAGAATAATAGGTAATATGCAAGAAGTGACAAATTGTAAGAGTAAATGACAAGTATTCCCAAGAGCATGCAGTCTCTTATTGTAGTAATTCAGACGGAAAACCTTCTTCGATAACAATAAAACGTGAGAAGACCAAGAGAGATCAGAGGAAAAGGTAACACCAAGATAATTGACCTTTGACACTGTGTTTATCAAAGAGTCTCCAATGGCACAAAGATTATGGGATCTCAAAATGGTGTTTAGATGCCGTTCATGTCTCATGCTAAAGTTAACAGCTTGACATTTAGACGAAGTATAAGATTAAGTATAAGACCATTACCAACAATCATTACGAGACAAAAACTCATTCATTCCTATGGGATGTAAAGAGGAAGACATAGGCATACATACAGTGAGATCATCCGCATATTTTACAAAAGTGTTTTCTGTGGAAGATGGCAGATCATGTAGAAAAAAGGAGAAAAGAAGAGGTGAAAGAACAGCTCCTTGTGGTACACCTTCATGAGGCAGTAAAGACTGTGAACACTTTCCTCAAAATAAAGTGTACTGTTCCCTTCTAGAGAGGTAGGAACATAGCCAGTTGGTTATCCAGTTGTCAGTGTTGACGCTGATTAACTTGTTAATTAAACGTTGTCTTGCTATAGAATTAAAAGCTGAATTATAGTCCAGAAAAGCGCATCGAACATACTTCTGACCCTTTTCTAAATTGAACACTATATTGTGATGCAGAACAGCGGCAGTATCTAAGGTGTTTCTTTTGCATCTGTAAGCAAACTGATACGGGTCAATATGCTCTTTTATCGCAGGCTGAATTGAAGTATTAACAATTTTTCCATTGTTTTGAGGAAGGGTGAAGTTATTGCAATAGGTCCAAATTTCACATTTTTATCAACAGATGCTTTCTTGGGTACAGGGATTATCTTCATCTTTCTCCACATTTTCGGTATGAGATTAGATGAGAAGGATCTGTTAAAGATAGTCGTGAATGGATAACATAGAACGTCAGCAAATTTTTTAGAAAGGAGGTTTGGGATACCATCAGGTCCCAAACATCGAGATGATTTATTGACATCTTCGGACATCAGTTTCAGTGAAACTAGGAACACAGCTATTCTTTAGATCTGTGGATGAAGGGAGTATTACATCAGATGACTGACGCACAAAAGACTTATTTATGTCACAAACATTCATCTGGTTATCGCTCCTAATCTGTCTGTCACCTATAAGTTTTTTAAAGAGTTTCCACATACTTGGAGAGTTTTTGAGTAAACATACAGTTGAGACGTCTAATCTCCAGGTTTATCAGCCCATTTAGCTTACGAACTTCATTACAGTTCTTCTCCTTGTACATTCTTTCTTTCACCCTCCATAGTCGTTTTAGTTGTGAAGATGTAAGTCGATCAAAACTTAAAAAATGGTTTCAGTGGGACAACAAATGTCAAAACAGAATTTAAGGTAACAAGTGATAACATCAGTAGTGATTTCCAATGAGTCATCTGTAGATAATTCCCAGTTAGTCGTATGAAACATGTTTTTCGGATTTCGGATATTTTTTTCTGAGTAATTCCTATATTTGACTTTCTTGGTTTGATGTGAGAGTGTACTCTTCCCATGCTTTCCATATACTTTAGGTAGAACACGAATTATACAGTGATCCGAGCTAGACAATGGAGCACGTTTACGAGTCTCTTATATACCCACATCATTAATCAAAACGAAGTCTAAATGAATATTCGAACGAGTAGGATAATCTACTATATTTTGGTGACCTAGTGACGTAAGGAAGCTACAGTCACATGAATTAAAATCACCACATACAACTGAAAGTGAATCACTGAAGGCAGCAACAGCGAACTGAGTGAATTCATCAGCGAAAACAGATAGCGCAGATAATGTGCAGTCTGGAGTCACGTAGATATTGGTAACATAAACATATTTGTATTTATTCAGATGTTTTGGACGACATCTTTGAGTTAGACAGTCGATAAAGTCATTTTAAAACTTGAAACACGCAAACGAAGATCGATACCAGTTCACGCTTACAAACGTAGCTACACCGCCGCCACACCTCTTTTTATTGTTTGGTCGATCCCGACGATAAATTTTGAAATCACGTAGTGATACTAGGCAGTCGTCCTGTAAATCATTCAACCAAGATTCTTGAATTGTGATGACACCACAATTACGATACATATTTTGACTTAGTAGGAATTGAAGATAGTCCACTTTGTTGATTAGTAATCGGCAGTTAGAATTTAGCAGCTCGGGAATCGACATACGACTAATGTTCATTCTCTTTAACGCATACTGCCAACCACCACGATGATGTCTTTTAAAGTACCTTTTTGTAACTTGTGCAGCGAAAGGTCGTAGGCTTTTCATAAACGCGCCTGTATAGGTTATGTGATTAATGGACATAATGAGATGCTAAAACAAAATGAAAAAATAAATAACTTGTTGAAATAATTAGATGGCAAAAACAGGTAGCCCAGATATTCAAGCAGGCCGCCGTTAATATAATGCACTAGTTGAATTATTTCTGTTTATTTATAACTGTAAGTGTATAAAGTTACATTTTTGTTCTACAGGTCTATTTGTATCTATCTTTCGATCAGCTGTCGTACCGGTGCTCAAATCATTCACATCATCTCTATATACTTCCAAACTTCAAAGTAAGTGTTTCTTTTTTTGTTTAAATTATTAACACTGAAGTACCTAACGAGTGTAGTGTTTTGGTCATTTCCCATTTGGTTAACTACTAATTTTTAGAAAAAATATATAACAGTACATTAAAATTGTTTACTGTCTCAGTGATCTTTCATCTTTCATTCTCAAGATTTTAGTTTCAATAGTCGAGAATTACTTTTGTTTTAACAAATGAGATTAAAATTTTAATATATACACTAGTTTTGAATAACGGGTACTATTAAGATCATCACAGAAAAATTGGTGTATCATATTAGTAATCACTATTAATCTACTATACTATGGATCAAATGTTTTTCAACAAAGTCTCATATACATGTGGCGTACTAAGATAAAGCCAGGAAATATTAACAACAAAAATGTTTTATAGTAGAAGGTTACAATTAAGAAAACGAAGTAATGAAACAGTGGCGTAATGTTTAAGGCGTTCAACTGTAAGCTAATAAGTTCTATGTTCAAGCCCTATCTCACCTACTTCTGTTTGAGCAGATGGGTAGTATTATAAATCGTCACACTTGGAGTGTGGCTCCTATCTAAGTACTTGGAGGATGAAGTAATCTAAACAATAATTAATTAATTAATATTCTCTCATTGTTTGTTAAACATTCTGCCTTCAAAAACATTTTTAACGTAGTATAATAAATCACTTGGCAAGATTGTCAGTGTTTATCTACCCAAGTAAGCAGTTAGACAAACATATAAATATAGAATCTTGTGTATCTGTTGAGTTTTCATATCAAAAGAAATGAACTTTGGCGAATACAAGTCGATTACTAACATTTGCAAGATTTCGATGAAAGCTAGAAATGGATGTACGTAGGAAATCGTGATGTCATTTGAAGTTTCCAATCACGGACTTCATAATATGTACGATTGTTGGGATGAATTTATTACATTACTGATTTCGTCAATATTTAATTGTGACTATTGTCTGTTATTTCAGCCGTTGTAGCGAAGAAATTATTGACGAATCTAAAACTTGTAAAACTACTTTTCAAAATATTATTGTTCATATTTCTGTTAAATGATTATTAAATGACTAGACTTTTATATTTCTATATTCTACTTATTGTAAACTGCCGTGGGGTCTATTAATTATTGTTAAACATTTTACCATCTCCGAGTTATAATTCATTGATTATGTGCCATTTACTCTGTTCTCTACCACTAATAGTAGGATTGTATGTAAAGTATAATTCCTCATTTGGGATGTGTTGTGGTCTGATTATTCATGTTTATGAACTATTGAGTGTTAGTGATTTATAAAACTGAGTCTCCGTAATATACTTATGGAAGCTTACCTACGTATACTTTTATATGGGCTTTAGACTAAAGATAGAATGGTTGCATATCGTTGGAACGATAAGAGTTAAGATTACCACGACCTCGACTCAAGATTAATCTTGCCAGTCGAAGTGTAGCAATGCCTAGAACGCCAGACTATAAACAAAATAGTATACGCAGCGTACACACATTCGAATCGAGCTTCTTATTGTAGAATCTTCTCTAGATATATAAACTAATGTGCATTTATAACACTAGCTGGTTTATATTTTTGACTGGTGTTTCACATTACCTGTAGAAGGTTACGTGTTCTAAAAAGCAGTTGAAATCACATGTTAAAAATGTTAGATAAAGGGACTAAAATTCAATCTTCATCAAACAGGTACATTCATTCTTCAAGTATTCACTGTGTAAATTATAGTTATCTTATTGTATAATATGAATCTTTTTTAATTTCCCTTTTTTCTTTTACAATGTTCGACTTGACTACTCTTATTGTTCAACTGTTTTCAACCTAGTAATTATTTTCATGTTTCAAAGTATTGTATCGTTTCTCATTTAAATTCACTTGGTATTGTTTACTTGAGTCTTCCCATTGATGTTTAGGACCGCAATTGATCAGTCTTTTATTGGCATATGTGCGTACTATGCGTACTGCCTCGATATCGCCTTAACCCACAAGCATTCTAAGTAAAGATGGATAGTGGCTAGCAGTGGAATCCAGGACGCGCTTTTCATCCAGTTCGGAACTCGTGAACATCAACTCTGAGATGCAGGTACATCCAGCTGACGAGTTCCAAATAGGACGAAACGTGCGTCTTGGATTCCACTGCTAGTCACTATCCATCTTTGGGTTTCTCATTTAGTTTTATTTGTTATTTGTGTCATTTGTGATGGCAAGCTATTTCCCCATCACATATATATGTATATGTTTCGTCCACTCATTCATCCATTCATTAATTTATGCAATGTACTATCATTAATAGAAATACTTATTTTACTTTAGATATTAAGTTAAATTTTCATGTGGTCGATGTATTTTGTATCATCTGTTATTTCAGTTCACATTTATTCATTGCTTTCTACTACATTGGCACTAAATATTTATGTAAATTTAGCTTCCAATGTTTTGTGACAAACCATATATATATATATATATATATATATATATATATATATATATACTTTTGTAGATAATGTTTATACGGTGAATTTCATAGAAAAGACTACTAAAGTTTGTCAAAATCAAGGTTTGCATAAAAACTCTCATTTTTAACCTGTAAACTTTATAAGAAATAAAAATCTTCATATTATACCAGAGATAACTGTTATATATGACCTTTTTTATTAATGGCTAATTAAACGAAAAGCAAAGAATATCATAGAGAGAGAGTCGTCGAAACTTTGACCAGTTCATGTATTCCTCTTAAATTGATTCTTTTTTATGGAGTTGTCCATTCTTCTGGAAAGGAGGAAATCAAGGAAATCTAAAATCTTTTCATGCTCCCTTTCACTTATGAATTAACTGGCTTTATTGTATTACGTTATTAGGGTTCGATACGGGCATACACTACTTGTGGAATTAGGAAAATAATTGAGCTACTCTAATACTATCGGTTCTCTTTTTAATCGATAACGACAACTTACACAAAACAAATTAACACTTAACGGCTAATTCAGAGAGAAGACAAATTTGAGGAACAACTGTTCAACAGCTCTTATTTATTGATACCATTGCCGTATATGATTAGTTTTTTATCTGAGTGTTGGTAGTATTATTCGAAGTTATTCAAACTATCATTTACTGACCCGTTCTCCAGTTTTGCTAGGAAATTGTCGGTGATTATCAAACCTATGGAAGTGCCCGTTGCTATTCTATCTATTTGTCTGTAGAACTCATTGTTAAGCTTTTAGTGCATATTCGATACCTGATTCTTTATCCAGTTGGGAGTCACTAAATTGTCGTCTGGTTTTATTTTTCGGATGTTTTCTCAATACTTATTAGTTACTATGTTTTATATGAGATGCTTATTGCTTTTAAACTGACTAGAACAGTCGATCATTTTCATCTTTTTTACAACTACAAAGTCTTATATCCGGATTAATACAATCTCAAACTGAACACCTTTCTTCAAATGCTCCACATATCCACGCCTATCATAAAACTTCTGACCTAGTTATAAAACCTCTATCTAGAATATCGAAAGAAACTTGAAATCCGTATCGGTTTTCAGGAAAGTTAGATTCATATATTTTAGCTGTTTAGCCCCTTGATCATACATATTCTTTTCTTGTTTCCCCTTATTCTTTATATGCTTAAAATATATTTCATAAATGGGTCGTTTAGATTTTAAGGAAGATCCTCAATACCATATAAACTCGGTGTAAGATTTTCTTTTTATTTAATAATATACGATTAAAGCGATTCACTATGCCGTGAGGCATATCGTTTCAGCTTCTTAATCAATGGATTTGGATTTATATTGACGAAGAGATGTGCAATAATGTTTAGGATAATGGTTCGTCACAGTGCAGTTATTGTATTTCTGATAGATATATTTTTTGATAGTGATATCACGTGTCTTATTGTTGTTATGAATTGTATATTTTCTTTCTTTTAGGCAGCTTATTTTCTGTGATTGCACTATCTGAATACTTGAGTCTTCTTATTGGTATTGGTAGTTTACCGTATATTTATGCAGCGACGGTAACATTTTGTTCTGGTGCAGTGTTTTTTGTCTCATCAGGATTAGCTTTAGTTGCTTTTATTCTACTTTTGTAAGTTTGAAAAAAAATTATTGCCGAAAGAAATAGTGTTTCTTTCTTTCCATTTATCAGTAAACTAATTTATTCAAACTAAATAAATTTGTTATTAAATAGTTGAGTTGATGAGTCAATTCAAGGTAGACCACTATGAAAAACCTGGAAGCAATGGACGGCCGATTTTCCTAGTATGGGACTCTTCAACAGTGCGCATCCACGATCCCGCCCGCGAGATTCGAACCCAGGATTTCTGGTCTCGCGCGCGAGTGCATAACCTCTTAACCACTGAACCGGTTCGAACCTTTAGCCTACTTCGGTTTTGGCTACCTCGTAGTATTTTATATTCGTTATAAGAAAACTATAATTCGGAGGATAATATCTGAACTAGAATTTTGAATTACATCAAATCTTCACTGTACTTAACTAGCATGATTACTAGAAGTAATTTAAAAATTGTTCTTTTGAACGATTTTTCGACCATATTTGTATTCTCTATTTGTATCAGACCGGGTTTTTCGCATATATTTTAGTGATTTCAGTAGTTCCGATCATGAGTCAGTTGGAACTAGACCACCATCGAAAAACTGGAAGCACTGGACGACCGTTTCGTCCCAGAATGGGACTCCTCAGCAGTGCTCATCCACGACTACGCCTCGCGAGATCGGAACCCAGAACCTAACAGTTTCACGCGTGGGCATTCAACCACTAGAACACTAAGCCTGCATCCGACGTTGTTAGTGTCTAGCTTCAATCAATCCACGAAATTCAGCAACACATCCACCATTGTCATCAGGAAGTTACTATCTCACAACCGACCCGGTTGAACTCCACTGGTCATTGCTTCTCACTAGAACTCCAGGAATTACCTCTTGAAGCCAGTCGCTAGTGAGAAGGGAAGGAGTCCCACAATAGGACGAAACGGCCGTCTAGTGCTTCCAAGTTTTCCATGATGATCTAGCTTCGATTGACTCATAATCTCAACTATTAGTATTCTCTATATAATAATAATGATAATAGTTGATAGGTTGATTTAAACGCAACGTTTACGTTATATCGACATTAATACACTAAATTCAACTACTAATTAATTCACTTCTCAAGAGGTCTATACAGTATACTAACATTTTTATTCCTTTTACGTATTCTTACGTAATTTACAATCTAATAGAATAATTGATCGAATTCATGTATCCTTCATATATATCAACAAATATGTATGTTTAGAAAACATTTAATTGCACTCCAGTGCATTTACTGTAATTAATGCTCACCGATGTAATGTAATAATTGATTTAATTGAATCTATCTACGTTATAGTTAAACTTCTATTAATTACCTCTATTGGCTTACTTTTATCCTGTTTATTTTTCTTCGTTCATTCAGATACATTTCACGTTATACTAAAAAAGAAATAAAGAATACTGATTTCAATCAATCGAATATTATCGAAATAGTAGATACTGTTAATACTTAGAAACAAGTAGAATCATTCCATTTTTTTCATTGGACTATGATTATGATTATTGTTTATCATTGGGATCTCTCTTTTCGTTTTTTTTTAAAATGTAAATAATTGTTTTCTTTTTGTTGTTAATTTTTACAGCTATTTTTCTTCTTTTAAATGAATCTCAAGTAAACTTATTATACCTTTTTTTGAAATGAAGAATTTAAGGTTTGATTAAACTTTGGCTTTATAATATAATAAATTTTATTTATAAAATAATTACATAAGACATTTTGATTTACATCTATGATTAAGTTGGACACATGAAGGTATGCCACATGTAAAAGATAGAGATATATGTATGAATTTGTTTTTAAAAAGGTATGTTTCATAAAGTGTTTCAAATGAATATTTGTTATGGAGTTTATAACAATGTAGAGTGGTAGTTGAAAACTAGTATACTCTCGGTTCAGTCAGTCAGTTAGCTACAACGTGGGATCAGGCACATTTATGCATCGGTCCAAGTTGCCATACCTCATTAGCACAACAAGGTAAACACCGGATTCATAGGAGTAGTTAAGTCAATGGTAGTAATATATAAAAAAAGATTTCATATAAGAACATAGTACATGAAGAAAGAATAAGTACGTAGAAAGAAGGATATGAAGTGATTTTAATCTCTTAGTTTAAGGGAAGACAGTGAGTGTATACACCTACGTCATTGTGATCGATCCTGAGCCATGTCATCAAGAGTCTCCAACCATTGGTTACGATAGTCACGCGGACCCCAATCAAGTAGTCTGCATCTACCAACGTGGCTCAGACTAGAAGTTAGTGACTTCAGGGACTGATGCCACGTTTTGGTTTGGCCGCCCCTAACTTTCTTTCAACCATCCCCAACACCGGTTAGCATTGCACGTCGTGGTAATTAGTGTTCAGGCACACGCAACACGTGGCTCAACCATCTCAGTCGGTCAAGATTCACAAACCCATTAACTGATTTACCATCATTCCATAATACCCTGCGTCTAACCCCATTATTACTTACCCGGTGATCCCAGCAGATTCGAGCAATATTTCTAAGACATCTGTGATCAAATACTATCACTTTACGAGTATCTTCTACTCTTGATGGCCATATATCGCAGTCGTAAAGTAGAACAGAACGAATTCCTGAGCAGTATACTCGTCCTTTTATTGATAGACGGATATCTCTCCTTCGCCATAGGTGACGTAAGTTGGCAAAAGCAAAACGAGCTTTTCGAATCCGTGCTGAGATTTCGTCAGACAACAACCCATTAGGGCTTATCAGACTTCCAAGACAAGTGAAGTTGTCAACGCGTTCGACTACTTCACTCCCTATCCTTAGTTCAGGTGTTGACGCAGACCAGTGCTGGAGCAACAACTTGTATTTAGAGGGATAGAAACGAATCATAAACATCCTGGCATTGCTGCTCAGTGCTACAAAAAGACTCGTTTGGATGATTGAGATATCATATCTAAGGTTTGAAAAATGTAATGTAGTACAATTTCAACAGAAACATTACCCTAATAAGTATGTAATCATATATATACCTGACTATTTTGTGACGTACTGGTTTAGATAAATTCTATTGAAACTGATTAAATTCGCTAGGGACAATGTAAGAATAAAATATCAGTGGAAATTGATGTTTTATATGTATACTCAATAATAAAAGTGATAAACCCACAATCTCTTCATACTTTTAACAATCGAGTGTGATATACTCATTGGTATAAGCAAATTCGTTTATATGTATTGTACTGAAATTGGAATTGTGCGACTAAGTATTTAAAAAGCTTATTAATTTGTACAGAAACCACAGTTTTACTAATTTGTACTTGGGAAAACACTTGGAACACCTTGATGTGAAGCTAGGATTTTGCCTTTTGTTACGGCTAGAACTTGTGCATAGACTACTCTATGCTGTGAAATTTTATTATTGTTTTTATATACATACAATAAATTACGGTTGAAATTGATGGGGATGGTCAAATTGTTTTCTAATGAAATAGAATTTACTGACAATATCCAGAACTTTAAATTAATTGCATCCACAATATTGATAGGATAAATGTTGCAACATGATATCAGATAATTGCGTTTTTCTAGGAATCTACCTGAAAGTTTGTACGATGGCCCATATCAAATTCAGAACATTGTAGACATATATCAAGAATGTAAAAACTGTTTAAGTGTAAACAACTGCACAGTGGTTGGAAATATTATGCGGAACCGCTTACAACACTAGTTATATTAGGCCTGAAATTTTGATTTAACTCAGCGGGATACAACACATAATCCCGAAAACTGTTTTTCTTCATCGTGAATTCCAAACTGACCGGATACATCAATAAAATATTCGAATGAATCGTATAGGGATATTTTGAGGCATGGCTCGGTATGTCTTCGTGAAAGTAAAAAAGAACTATCAGTCTGTATTTTATTTGAGAATCTGTTGTTTGTCAACTAGACGTTTTTGAACGGAATTTCCAAACACGTTCAATGTAACTTTTAGCGTAAATTTACTGGATTGAAATTTCATGACAAATCATTTCCTACAATGAATTCACTTTTCAAATTTTCTGCATAGCGATTGAGCTATTTCCAATTAGATCACTTGAAAATGAATTCAACAATTTATCCTTTCATATTTCTTGACTTTTTTTTCACAATTATTCTACAAAAGTCTGACAATATTAATGAATCTACAAGATCTTAATAATCGAATTTCCAGTTTCTTAATAAGAATGACAGTTTTTTAAGGTTTCGTTATCATGTTTATGAGATCAGTGCTTTTAGCGAGCTCACTAACGATCACCGTAACGAAAAATTATGTTTTACGACTGCACGACGTCAAGTGTAAATTTGTTGCTAAGAGAACTCTTCGCTGAACCAATTTTCTTGTTTGTATGTTTCAGTCGGTGTATTCCGTCTATTGTGGATGTTTAGATTAAATATTCGTTCTTCAAGTTCCAGAACGTTTATACTTAACTCCTTCCGATAGATTCACTTATTGATTTGAAATATACATAGTCTTGTTCGGTGAAGCCACTGGCAAAATGCAAGTTTTTTGATTGACCTGGACAACTATCAAAGCCTGTGGGCGATGCGATTTTATCCCTCCACGTGAAAAGTTTCGCCAGAAAACTGGTCTGTTTCAACGCCCAAACTAGTGATGGGGAATAAAGTAATTGACCTCGTCGACTATTTCAATTGCCTTGGATGTCTCATCAGTTCTGGTGGGTTGGTGTTTAACGAAATTTCCACACATACTTAGAAAGCTAACTTAACTTTGCCAAATGGCGTCCTTTGTGACCTACGAGAGCCGTCCGTCTGCTAACCAGAGGAAGAGTTTACCGGGTAACAGTTTGTTATGTCCGATTTTATTTATTTAAAGAATTCTCTCTTAAAAGAGGATATTTGTAAGTTCCTAGTACTTGATTTTGGGTGCCATCAAAGAATTGTTTACATGTGTCAGGACTATTGAGTCAGTAATCCTAATATTAAACGCAAGGTATTAGTTAATGATAAAAAATCTGTTGATCGGACAAAAGATCATTGGACGAGATGATTCGGACTTGTATTATATGTTTTTTTCTTCATTTTTCCGGTTTATATGTTCATTTAGATCCATACGTTTTCTCAATGATCAACCATTAAAATCTCTACTACTCTGGCTTTTATCTTGACGATTTAATTGCCCTTTGCCAATCAGAGTGTAGGACCTTCAACCAGTGTACATATCTATCAGGCTCTACGTTGTGTATAACTAATTACTAGTTTTTCCCAAGAGACAACATACCTACTTGAGATTTATTCTAACGAATAGGCATCATAATATTCCTGACAATGTGGATAATATAGACATCGAACACAATGTTAATCTGGAATATTACTTAACGCTAGTCACAAATTGTTGCAGATATTTCAAACTCTGGTTGTTCAAAATAAGATGAAAGTATTAAAAATTAGTAAATGTAACATCGAACCACACATATTTGTTACTGAATGATTTATTGAAACAACATTTGATCATATATGTTAAAGAATAGACAATGAAAACTAATTTAACCATGCCATGAAGTAGCCATCATAATAATTTTAAAAATTCCATTTTATTCATCATTCGAGAAAAAATGATGTTGAATAACTTCTCGAATAAGAGTTATCCTGAAATGTAGGAAATAACTATCTAACAGTTTAAGTAATATTAAAAACAAGTGTTGTTAACAAGGTGAAGTAATTTGGGAAAAATTTGCGTGTCATCATAAAAAGGTTTTGTGATATCTACTGTAGTGTGGCGTCAAGTCGCGGTTGACTGTGATCACCATTACAAGAAGGTTGTGTACCAGATATCAAAAGGCGATTGGAGGTTGTAGCGATATATATTTGTTGGCGATCTCGTGGTATCGAAAGAATACCGAGATCGTGTCAAAGGAGTAAAAGCGGAATCACTAAGCAAACGTAAGTACGTGCAAGGTCACAAGCAACGGAAGAATGTATGTCTTTAGTACAGTTAAACAAACAAGTACAGTACAACAATCACTGGTAAAATTGGTTATGATAATAATTGTTTCCTTTAAACCGATAGAGTTCTCTTGATACAAGTAGGTCACTACAATACCATGAAATCTACCAATCTTCTTTTATGTAAAGCCTATTACATTATCATTCATTTAGCAAGATAAGTTATAAAACAATTTCATGTAAATGTATTCTATAGGTACTGCTAACATTAAGAAACATATAGATCCTCGTTATAATGTTTATAAAAATAAACTGAAGAAATACATGAATCAGACATTATAAGTTTAGGTGAATAAATCATATGATCCACAGTTTAATCCATTTTTATAGTATGATCGATGTATTAGGCTTAGTTTAAATATAACATAATTGTGTTTGTTGGATTTTGTTGACTCAATGAATTTAAAGTCTTAATTATTACGTTTTATAAGATGGATCGTTTCTGATAAGACTGGTGATAGTGCGAATATAAGCTTTT